ATGTAAAAATAAAGAAAAAAATGTGCAAGACAATAAGAAACACTACCTGCCAAAAAAAAAAGTGAAGTTTTGTTGAAATCAGTTGAAAAATGTAGGAAATCTGATCCCATATATAAACGAACACAGACACACACAAACAACCTGGGTTTTATAATAAGTATAACTCGATATGAGTTGTCCCTCTTTCATTCTGGCGACTTACAATTGTGTTTTTCCAATTTTGGGCGCTGTCAGAACCACCGCAAGGTAATTTTACGTCGTCCTGTGAAGTTTTGTTGAAATCGGTTGAAAAATGTAGGAAATCCAATCCAATATATAAACGTACAGACACACACACACAACCTGGGTTTTATAATAAGTATGATATATATATATATATATATATATATATATATTAAATATTTTAAAATAGGAATCATTACACTCCCGCTACCAGGGTTTCAACAAATCAACCATTAAGATATCGTCAAGCTGTAGATTTAAACACGCTAAAAAGTATATTTGGTGTGGATACGAACCAGGATGAAAGTATAACATTTTTTTTACTCCCTATCCCATCTACCTTGCCATTCTTGCCTCACCCCTCCTTTTCTGTCACACTTCGTGTTGTGCGCACATACATTAAGCTAATAAAGCGTTTGAAAATTAATTAGCATCTACTGCCTGACGCGAAGTTAATAGTTGAAACCCTGGTAGCGGGTGTGAAAATGGTTTCTACTTTTTAATATTTAATATTTAAAGCTCTTCATGCTCCAATTTTGTGGATTGTGTCTAAAGCACTTTTTAATAAAACCGTCCCCTGATCAGACTCCTTAACTTTGACGAACGATCGGTTAAATATATAATTTAATATTTTTTCCCATGATTCTCTGCAGTATCTTCCTACCGTTGCTTGAACTTTTATTTCTCTCTCTCTCTCTCTCTCTCTCTCTCTCTCTCTCTATATATATATATATATATATATATGTGTGTGTGTGTGTGTGTGTGTGTGTGTATATTGTCATCTACAGACAGACTGTTTCGCTGTATCACAGCTCATCAGTGTGGCTAGACGACCGGTTGCCTCTACCTCTAGCTAGGATCGAAGCCTGACTGAATTGGCATCTGTCGGTGATTCTACCACTAACCCCGTGGCACACGACATGGATGAAGGTGAATTTAAACGTATTTATATTTAGATAAACACAGTGACTGAGAGAAAGAGTCTTGCATTATTAGCAGTAATAGTCACTGTTTACAAACCCCACACTTCCTCCCAGAGCTCAACTTTAAATCTTTCAGGAGCATACATATTGTTATCCACAGACAGACAGACTATTTCCTGTATCACAGCTCATCAGTGTGGGACGTCCTATTGCCTCTAATAGGATCGAAACCTGACTGAATTGGCATCTGTCGGTGATTCTACCACTAACCCGTTGGCACACGACAGGGATGAAGGTGAATTTAAGCGTATTTATATTTAGATAAACACACAGTCAATGACTGAGAGAAGTCGATTCGATTAACCGAAGAGTCTTGCATTATTAGCCGTAATAGTCATTGTTTACAAATCCACACTTTCTCCCCCAGAGCTCAACCGAAATAAATTTTTCAGGAGCATGATGGACTCTCCCGTCGTTTTCAGTTCAGTTTTTATGTTTATTTTTCGTATGAGACAACAATCGTCTTCCGACTTTGATACCAATCTTTCTTGTCCACAGAATTCATCTGGGAATTTAACTATACTGTCGACATGGAAAAAAAAAATAATAATCCCTTACTATAAAGGTAATTTACATTAACCAGAAAAAAGGCTTAGACACAAGCGTCTATCTTTTTAATTTTGAATTTTAATGTAACAACAAAAACATTTCGATTTCATTTTTGCCTTGAAAAAGTCGGAAGACGAAACGCGTCGGCAAAATGTATGATTTTTTTCCAATTGTCATTTGATACCAATCTGTCTTGTCCACAGAATTCATCTGGGAATTTAACTATATATATATATATATATATATATATATATATATATATATATATATATATATATATATATATATATATAGCGGGTGGTATAATGGTTGATAGCGGCTTGATTGAGATTGAGTTCGAATTCCAGTCGAATCCATTACATTCACTTACGTGCTAATACCCTTGGCAAAGGTGTGAATCCTCTTCTTCTCCCTCCAGCTATGGGTAAAATAGCAGGATGGACTGGGTCCTATAGCCTTGGATGGCAACTGGTCTAGGAGAAGGACAACTCTGAATTCAAAACCTGCGGAGGGTCGTTTGGGAACCTTGTGGCATTCGGTGCACCAGGTCTCTGTATTCGTCCCTTCAAAAAGTATGGATGGCCCTGCACGAAACCTTCACCACTATAATCAAATCTCATGTGCCGGTGTTGGGCTGTCGGTTTCCTGGGAACTGATCTGCTTGACCCTCATACGACGAATTCGACGGGAGAGTCGACTATATATATATATATATATATATATATATATATATATAAATATATATATATATATAAACATTAATATTCCATGGTTATATTTAATTACATCGGTATAATAATCACGATCCAATTCAGGCCTACAAATTCAAAAAGAAATCGGAATATATATATATATATCAGTCCGATTAACTCTTAACGGATGAAACGCGTCACAAAAAAATTGCAGTTTGTCATATTTTAAGACATTCATTTGTGTAGTTCACTGCTACCAGCAAGCAGAAATATTTCTTCTCCTGATGATGGCCATTTTGGCCGAAACTAGTCGAGGAATCTAAATGAAATAATAAAACGAAAGAATATTAATCTACAACCCAGTGTGTCTGAAGATTTTAATTTTTTTTAATATATTTTATTGTTCAATATATATATATATATATATATATATATATATATATATATATATATATATATATATATATAGTATAATTGAGAAATCCTCTACTTTATGATGAACAGTCGCTACCAAATGCTGAATGTTATTCGACATGATAAAAATGTACATTATTTAAAATATGAGCTGCTAACTGCTAACAGTACTGAAATAGAAAACTGCTCTTCAATTAGCATATTTTATATAAACAACGCTACACCCACCATAATATCACAATTTACTAAGCGTGGCTTAAATGTGGTACAAGGCCAAAAGTATGGAGCACCCATTGAGAGTCAAACTCATTATTCAGTCGCAGTTGATCTTACGAGATAAGCTTGCTGGTCATTACGCCATATCGAAGTGTTCTAAATGATTTAGATATGCTAAAACGCCGAATGTATAGCACACCCAGTGAGGGTCGGAATCACTACTCAGTCCTGATTGATCTCACGAGACATGCTAGTTGACCATTACACCATGTCGAAGCGCCACCGACCTGCAATAACATTCAGGCTGATTCAAAAGTAACCCCCTATCATGGACTCTCCCCTCTTGTAAAAATTATACGGAAGAGCCATTGTGTATAAAATGTGCAGTTGCTTTTCAGTCACCCTACAATTATAGTAGTACTTAAATTTAAAAAAAAACAAACATTATTTTAAGTGTTGCATTATATTAATTAGCAATAAACATCGTTGAAATATTAAAGAAATATTAATAAAATAATATTTGTATTTACTTAACCCCCATGAGGTTAGGTTGTGACACAAGGTCGGTTTTAATATGGGGATCCCGAGCGCGTATATCCGAGCTAGGAACAAAAATTGTTCGACGCCCCGCAACCGTCAGTTGCGCTGGCCTCGGCGCAAACACGGATCCCTCTCTCTAATGCAATAAGAGGGCGCGGCCTCGGATAGCTGTTCCTCACGACTGGGCACCTCTCGATATAATTTTCCTCAGTTGCAACTCAGTCCTTCGACAGGGGCCGAACATGAGTGCACTCTGCCCAAAGGCACAACTGAGAGATGATAAATAAACGTATTACAAATTACTCGAAAGTAATTTACACATAATTAAAGGATATATCAGCAATTGTAGCCTTTCATTAGACAGCGTTGCTATGCGCTTTTTTGGTCTCACGTTTTCCACTGACCTGAGGTAGGACAACTTCATTTGAATCAATAGCTGAATCTACCGCAAGGACAATTAATTCTCTGTGTCACGCCAGAAGGTTTTTCTCGCCTGAGTCGATCCTTTAGATTTACAAATCTACTATTTGTCCTTGCATTGAATACTGTTGCCATATATGGTCTGTTTATCTCGAGGTCCTAGACAAAATCTACAATGTGATAGATCCTGATTATGGCATCTCATCTACGGTCACTTTATCATAGACGTAAGGTGGCTTCCCTCTGTCTTTTCTACACATATTTTCATGGCAATTGCTGTGACGTGCTACTTTCACTGGTACCCCAACTGCATGAATTTAAGCGTGCTACTAGGTTAGCATCTCGGTCCCACCCTTTTAATGTCGAAACAGTTAAATGTAACCGCCTCTTCTACTCCAACAGCTTCTTCTCTCGCACTTCCCGCCAGTGGAACTCTTTTCCACCTACATGCTTCCCTGATAGCTATAATCTTCAAATATTCAAATGTAATGTCAGTCGACATCTTCTAATGCCTTGATCCTGAACCCTGTCCTTCTCTATATCCTTTCCTCACACACCCCTCTTTACTCTTGCTCCCTCGCTTTCTGTAAGCCCTTTGTCTGAATTCATATTCTCAACGGAAGTACATCGCTAGACGGAAATCGTCACAAATCCAAAATTTTAGGTAAACTGTTGTATTCGACATTATAAATTAAAATTAAGAACAGTGTGCTAAGACGAAATAGGCACATTTTTTTAGCATGCACCTTCTAATAAAAAATTTAGTAATTATAACTGAATAATGGAAAATTTTATCTCATGCAAAAACGTCAATTTTGACGCCATTAACACGGTTAATTTAAAACATTTTGCGTTATCATAAAAGTGGCGCTTTTACAGAGCACAGAAAATCTGATCTGAAAATAAGTTTATGATAAAATCTGCAAAATGATTGGACAAAACTTTCATTAAACTCGGAGTACAGATTGGAAAAAGATAAAGGCATTTTATTTGATCTATCTATCTATCTATCTATCTATCTATCTATGTTAGACTGTTCATTATCTATCTATTTATCTATCTAACTTATCTTTTTCAGTCTTTTTCTTTCTTTCTTTCTTTCTTTCTTTCTATCTATCTATCTATCTATCTATCTCAGTCTGTCTATATCAGTCTGTTCTTATCTATCTATCTATCTATCTATCTATCTATCTATCTATCTTTTTCAGTCTTTTCCTATCTATATATCTATCTATCTTTTTCAGTCTTTTCCTATCTATCTATCTATCTATCTATCTATCTATCTATCTATCTATCTATCTATCTATCTATCTATCTATCTATCTTCGGCCTTGTGCCACATCTAAGCAACGCTTGGAAAATCGCTATCTTTCTATCTATCTATCTATCTATCTATCTATCTATCTTGTTATGGTAAAAAAAATGGACACAAAGAGAGGAATTGAGTTAAACAAATATATTAACAGAAACAGCAATACAAGCATAGACAAACGAGAGCGTTAGAGCAAGAATGTTCGGTTCGAGTGTTGGAGCTGACGGCTGGAAACTTTTGTCTTCAAAAGGCAGCACCTGCTCCTATTTATACCTAGAAGAGTCTATGCGTGCGTGGGTATATTACCATAGCACTATCTATCTATCTATCTATCTATCTATCTATCTATCTATCAAGAAACTTGAATTTTTATAAAGTGGAATATCTTCACACCTCTTATATACACGCACGCACACACACACTTAATATATATATATATATATATATATATATATATATATATATATAATTGAAGCTTTATTAATATAAACAAAAAATCCAACACTCAATAATATCTGTTCTACTTACTGAAATATATATACGGATATATATTTATTTATTTACATCTACCAGCCTGAATATTCGAGGAATCTTGTTAAACATCGTTGAAATATTAAAGAAATATTAATAAAATAATATTTGTATTTACTCAACCCCCACGTGGTTAGGTTGTGACCCAAGGTCGGTTTAATATGGGGTGCCCGGGCGCGTATATCCGGGTTAGGAATAAAAATTGTCCGACGCTCCGCAACCGTCAGTTGCGCTGGCCTCGGTGCGAGCACGGATCCCTCTCTCTGGTGCAATAAGAGGGCGCGTCGGATAGCTGTTTCCCACGGCTGGGCACCTCTCAAGATAATTTTCCTCAGATAGAAGTCTTGTTACAAAAAAATATGCGGCAGATGGAAATAAATATACTTTTTAATAATAAAAGCAGAGCATCTACTCAAATATGAGAATCCATTAAAAATAATGCTTAAACAAATAAATTAAAAATACATCGGATTTAATCCATTGATGAAAAAAATATCTTTGTACACGTTAAAATACGAAACAGAACAGATATATTTCGAGAATCGATTAAGATATGTGTTCAAAGGCACTATTCGGGCTATGCGTGACCAGGACGTCATACGTGGGCGAGAGACAAAGCACGTCAGATCTGCCAACCATTTCCACTTTTTGGGCATACGTTAGAATCCTATCGGAGGGTGCGTATTTTTTAACAATATTTCAGGTCGCTATATAGAAATAAATAAATATACTGTTTAATAATAAAAACAGAGTATCTACTCAAATGAATATCCAATAAAAATGACGTTTAAACAAATAAATTAATATATATATATATATATATATATATATATATATATATATATATATATATATAAAAAAATATATGTGAAGAAAAAATACACAAAAACTTAAATATACAATTATACTGTTTTAATGTTAATATGTCAACGTCGGACGTTTCGGTCTAATAAACCATCTTCAGGATATATTCATAAAATATAATTAACATTATCAATTCAACGTGACAAAGACGATGTCCGACGTTGATATATTAACATTAAAACAGCATAATTGTATATAAGGATTTTTGTTTGTTTTTTCCGTATATTTTTCTTCATACTGTCGGATCTATATCCATATATTTGCTTGCATATACATACATACATATATATATATATATATATATATATATATATATATATATATATTTCTGTCACTTATTAACCCGACATATTTTTATCACTTTAAACGTTATTTTTAGTGGATACACGTATTTGAGTAGATGGTCTGTTTATTTATTAAACAGTATATTCATTTAATTTCATCGACTTGTCTGAATATTTGAGAAAGAAAAAAATTCGCTCTTTGGCAGGACTCGAGCCTACGATCTTCTGGCGATAGCCGAAAATAAATAAATAAATATACATCATAATAAATACACGGACCATCTATTCAAATATGATTTTCTACTTAAAATAATGATGAAAAATCCCTCGATTTAATAAAAATATCCATTATGTTCTTTACGGTATTTATCATTTCACCCACGGGAAACGAATATGGCACAAGGCCGGTTTTATTGTGGGTTTCTCCGAGCCCGTAGGCTCGGCCAAAAAAATAGCCTTTTGAAGCCGATTAGACGGGTTCAGGCCTTGTCTACCTCCCCGGACGAAACCTTGCCCTTCGGCAAGCCTCGTCTGGTTCCCTCTCTGCTAACGCAGAGAGTTCGACAGACGTTCTTTAACACACTTTACACACACACACACACACACACACACACACACACACACACACACACATATATATAATTTTATTTATTTATATAAGCTGTATATACATATACATTTCTCAATAAATATTATCAATTAATCGGTTTTAATTTTCTAATATATATATATATATATATATATATATATATATATATATATATATATATATATATTATTTATATACCCTGTATATATATATATTTTATTTATTTATATACCCTGTATATAACGTTGTGATAAATATGGCAACAAAGATGAGAATGATAATCCGAACAATGTAAATAGTGTCATATAACCTTTTCTGAAATGAAGCCAAGGAAAATCCTCATTCAATCCTTCAGATTATGCATACCGGGTTTAACATCAAAGTTGTACCAAATCGTGTAACAACATAACTCTCCATCCCATAAAATGTTTAATATATGAAACAGCACGAAAGTAATTGAGTTTCTTTTTTCCAGGTTTTCAGGTAAGACGTTTAGCCTCCTTGATGCCATCTTTGAAAACATTTCCAGCAATACATTTTTGAAAAAAAATATTTCCAGTAATCCTAATCTTGTCGGCATTGAGTTTGATATGCCGTAAAACAAACCAAACCAAACCAAACCAAACCAAACCTATAAACAACCAAATGTAAATAATGTTCCTGGTGTGACAACAAAATTGTCCAAATCGTGTAACAGCATAACTGTCCATTCCACAAAATGATTAATATCTGAAACAGCACTAAACTAATTCAGTTTCTTTTTGCCAGGTTTTCAGATAAGACGTTTAGCTATCGTGGCACCATTTGTCGTAAGAATTATTGAAAAATCCTTTGAGTTATTCAGTTGAAAAGAGAACAAGTAAAATCGTTTTGTGTCAGTACCACTATGTCTCTCCAAGTGAGTAATGGTGAGAGGAAAATGATCATTCAGGCCTTCAGTAATGGTACGAACATTCATACACTGGCTTCCATCTTCAAAGTCCATTCAAGAACCATCAAGAGAATGGTGAATAAGTTTTAAAAAGAGGAAACACTAAAGAGGAATACTGGATCAGAAGGTCGCAATAGCAAGAGGAATCATCTTTTTAACTTAGAGCTAAATACATTCTTATTGTTCAAAGTAGAGTCCAATAATGTATAAAATCCTCGGAGAATTCCAGAAATATATCTTGAATCATTTCTAAGATACAACGATTCAAGATTAATCTAACAATTGGATAATTTTGCTGTAACATGATTTGAACAATTTTGTTGTTACATCCGGTATATATATATATATATATATATATATATATATATATATATATAAGGTGCATAGACCTCTTATATACACCAGCACACACGCACACACGCGCGTACACATATGCACCTCCACACGTATAAAATTGGTAGATATCTCTTATATAGTCGCAGATAAACCACGCACACACTCACGCATACACATATTGGATGCAAACAATTCTTATATACCCTCACAAAAACACAAATATCCACACACGCACATATATAGAGGGGACATGCACCTCTTATATAAACGCACACACGCAGTCGCGAACACGTATATAGTGTATACAATTCTTGTATCGCTTACATAAACGCACACACTCGCTTACACACACACACACACATACATATAGCGTACATACAATTCGTATATACACACATATAACCACATACTCGCACACACACACACCCACACACATATATATATATATATACACACATATATGGGGTATACATCCCTTATATACAATCATACAAACATACTCTCCCGCATATATATATATATATATGTGTGTGTGTGTCCGTGTGTGTATGTATATACCTCTTATACACACACATACACATACACACACATGCACACACATATATATATGTGTGTTTGTGTCTGTGTGTGTGTATGTATATATATAGGGAGTATATATCTCTTATACACACACATACACATACACGCACACACACACACACACATATATATCTATATATATATGTGTGTGTGTGTGTGTCTGTATATATATATAGGAGTATTCACCTCTTTTATACACACACACATACACATACACACACACACACGTATATATATATATATATATATATATATGCGTGTGTATATATATATATATATATATATATATATATATATATTTATTGTTTGTTTGTATTTCTTCCTTTTTTCAATTTCTTACTCTTTTACCCCGTCACTTCCAACTAGCAACGTTTTCCTGTGTTTATCACAACCACACTCAACCCAATACCCGTTTACAGTTCATCCCATTTTCATAAATCATTTGGTGAATCACTCGTTTTGCAGTCGACCTATACACATTTCCACGCGCGTTTTCTCTATCCCCACCCCTGGGATTCATTTTTCCTCCCCGCTTGTTACCTTCCGTCGACATCGCGTCCAAAGCACGCCCATCCACAATACCCAACAACGTCTGATCCATTTGAGTCATCAGACTCTATCTCGCCGATCCTGTCTCTCATTCGCTTTCACTGCTTCAGACATCTTTATTTCTTCCACTTCTCTTTCGCTTTTAACTCCACCCTCATTCTATTCTATTCTTTCTTTCTTTCTTTCTTTCTTTCTTTCTTTCTTTCTTTCTTCCATCTTCTTCTTCTTCTTCTTCTTCTTCTTTCAACTTTTACTCTTCTTTCTTTTCTTGTTGTCTTTTCTTTTCTTTTAACCTTTTGCATTTCCTCTTTCTTTTTTTTTCAACCATGCTTTTAATGCCTTTTATACTGGAGCCCTCTTCTTTCGTCTTTCTCCTCATCCTCATTCTATTCCTTCTTCTTCTTCTTCTTCTTCTTCTTCTTTTTTCAACCATGCTTTTAAAGCCTTTTCTACTTATACCCTCTTCTCCTCTTTCGCCTTTCTCCTCATACTCATTCTATTCCTTCTTCTTCTTCCTTCAGCTTTTACTCTACTTTTCTTCTCGTTTCTCTTTTTTTTTCTTCTTTTAATCTTTTCCATCTTCTTTTTCCTTTTTTTTCCAACCATGCCCCTCTTCTTTGCAAGCCACTTCTACTTGTACCCTTTTCTCTACTTTCTTCTCTCGTTCACCTTTACTTCATTTGCCTTCCCTTTTTCTTCTTCTTTTTCTCTTCTTCCTTCAATTTTCGCCCCTCCTTATATCCTTCTACTCAGTTCTTTTCACTTCATCTGTTCTCCTTTATTTCTCTTTTCTCTTCAATTTTCCTCACACTTCTTGTTCTGCCTCTTTTCTTCTTCTCTTTACTTCCTCCACTCCAACGTCTATTCCTTCTTTCTTTCTTTCCTTACCCCCTTTTTATATTTCAATAAAAGATATTGATCCATTGGTCAATCTATTTTATTTTTTTGTCGTCGGATCCAACATTTCTCGATTTGTTTAACGATAATTTTCCCGCTCACTCAATCCCTTGAACTCGTTTTCCTCCATTACTATTTAACTTTTCATTTAGTCCTAGTCACCGCCATATTTGCATTCGTGTTTTCTTCCTTTTTTGTTACTCGTTTCTTTGCATACAACATTTTTCCTTCATTCCAATCTTTTTTCACTTCGATTTTCTTTCTTTTTCATTCTATTTCTTGCTTTTTCTTATTTTTATATATTTATTTTTTTCACTGTTCTTCATTTTTGTTTAAATCTTTTCTTCTTGAGTGTTTTTTTTTCTCTCTTTCGATTTAGTTTTGCGTTCCACTTTATTTCTTATTTTTTTCTTTCTTTTTTCTTTATTTTCAATTCGGATTTTGGGAAGGTCTCACTCTTTAAAATATTTCTTTCTTTCTTTCTTTCTTTCTTTATTGCTTTCTTTTCTTCTTTCTTTCTTTCCTTGTAAGGGTTCTTTTTTCTATTTTTTCTTTCTTTCTAAGGGTATTTTCGTTGTAAAAGTTCATCCTTTCTAAAAGGTCTCACTCTTTAAAATATTTCTCTCTGCTTCTTTCTTTCTTTCTTTCTTTCGTTCTTTCATTGTAAGTGTGCTTTCTTTATAAAAAGTTCTTTCTTTCTTTTTTTCACGTTTTCATTCTTTCTTTTTAAGGTTACTTTCTTTGTAAGATTTCTTTCTTTTTAAAATTTCTTTCTTTCCTTCTTTCTTTCTTGCTTTCTTTTTTTTTCTTTCTAAGGTTACTCTCTTTGTAAGAATTCTTTCTTTATGAAAGTTACTTTTTCTTTCTTTCTTTTTACGATTTTTTTTCTTTCTAAAACTTCTTTTTTCTTTCTTTCTATCTTGTCGTTCTTTCTAAGATTATTTTCTTTATAACATTTCATTTATCTAAATTTTTTTCTTTCTTTCTTTCTTTTTTTTCTTTTTTTAGTTCCTTCCTTCTGTCTATTTCTTTCTCATTTTTTATATATTATACATTTTTACTTTGTTATATTTCATTCTTTCTTCCTTGTTCTTCCTTCCTTCCATTTTTCTTTCTTTCTTTCTTTTTTTCTCAGGCGACTTTGTTGTAATAGTTCTTTCTTTCTAAAAGACCTTTTTTCTGTCTTTATTTCTTTCTTCTTTCATTCATTCTTTGTTCTTTCATTCTTTCTTTCTGTTTTGTTTGTTTTTTTCTCTTTCTCTCTCTCTTTCTTTCTTTTTTTTCTTTCTTTCTCAGGCTACTTTTTTGTAAGAGTTCTTTCTTTCTAAAAGACCTTTTTTCTGTCTTTCTTTCTTTCTTTCTGTCTTTCTTTCCTCTTTCATTCATTCTTTTTTCTTTCATTCTTTCTTTCTTTCTTTCTGTTTTGCTTGCTTCTTTCTTTCTCTCTTTCTTTCTTTCTTTCTTTCTCAGGCTACTTTCTTTGTAAGAGTTCTTTCTTTCTAAAAGACCTTCTTTCTTTCTTTCTTTCTTTCTTTCTTTCTTTCTTTCTTTGTTCTTTCATTCATTCTTTGTCCTTTCATTCTTTCTTTCTGTTTTGCTTGCTTTTTTCTCTTTCTTTCTTTCTTTCTTTCTCAGGCTACTTTTTTTGTAAGAGTTCTTTCTTTCTAAAAGACCTTTTTTCTGTCTTTCTTTCATTCTTTCTTTCTTTCCTCTTTCATTCATTCTTTGTTCTTTCATTCTTTCTTTCTTTCTTTCTTTCTTTCTTTCTTTCTGTTTTGCTTGCTTCTTTCTTTCTCTCTTTCTTTCTTTCTCAGGCTACTTTTTTGTAAGAGTTCTTTCTTTCTAAAATACATTTTTTCTGTCTTTCTTTCTTTCTTTCTTTCTTTCTTTCTTCTTTCATTCATTCTTTGTTCTTTCATTCTTTCTTTCTGTTTTGCTTGCTTCTTTCTTTCTTTCTCTCTTTCTTTCTTTCTTTCTTTCTTTCTCTCTTAGGCTACTTTTTTGTAAGAGTTCTTTCTTTCTAAAAGATCTTTTTTCTTTCTGTCTTTATTTCTTTGTTTCTTTCTTTGTTTGTTTCTTTCTTTATTTTTTCTTTCATTCTTTCTTTCTGTTTTGCTTGCTTTTTCTTTCTTTCTTTGTTCTTCCATTCTTTCTTTCTTGTAGTGCCTTCCTTCCTTCCTCTCTCCCTTCCTTCCTTCCTTCCTTCCTTCCTTCCTTCCTTCCTTCCTCTCTTTATTTCTTTCTCATTTTTTTTTCATAAAATATCTTTTTCTTTTTTGTTCTTTTATTCTTTCCGTCTTGTTGTTACTTCGTTTCTCTCTTTATTGATTTCTCGTTTTTTATAGAACAACAATTCAAGTTTTGAATGTTCTGAATTGATTATTTTAATTTGTTTTTCTTTCTTTTTGCGATTTTAATTTTTAATACCTTCTTTGTTTCAGGTTAATACCTATTTATTTACAATCCTTTTTATTTTTTATTTTGTAAGTCCATGCTTTTTAAAAATATATATATATATATATTCATGTTTTATTCAGTTATTCGTTCGTTCCTTTTCCTCACTTATTTATTCACTCCTTACTTTTTTCCCTTTTATTTTCGATCGTCACCCTTTCTTTTTTCTTCTCACTTGTTTTTCTCTTGGCAATCGCACCCCCTTTTTCTTTCGTCACCCCATACTTTTCTTTTACCCGTTCAATCGATCCATTCATCCATCGTCATATCTTCCTGTCTTTGATCCATTCACGGTTTCTTTCTCTCTGCCTTGGAGTTATTTTCAGACTGCTCTTTCTCCAATGTTTTCTATCGATTTGACCGTCTCGTTCTTCCAGTCTATATACCACGGCCTCTTCTTGCCTTCCAAACAACACCAATCATTCTTATTTATTCAAACAACCACTCAGCTATCTCCCCACCAAACTTTTACATGCTACCTTATAAAGAAAACTTGTATTTATTTCCAACTGTTGCTGCACAAACTTCCATTACTACTCGTACCACTACCCACCAACACCTAAGCTGCAAGTGTTTCTTTTGATGGTGGTGGCGTTGCCTGCTGTGTTCCTCAGCCGCCGAAGTGGCGGGGGTGGCGTTACTCACGACCAAGTGCCGTCAGCCCACAACCAAACTGGGCAGAAAACCTCTAAGAGTTATTGTCGACGGGACGAGGAGTTGCTGGGCAGAATTCCCAAAAATAGTAGGAATCATTCCTTTAGAACATCTCTGGATCAACCCATTTATTCCTAGGCACTTCCACGTTCAAAACTCCGTCACTTATCGTCCCCCTCCTACTCCTCTTACAAACTTCACTCCTCCTTTTCCTCTTCTATTTTAATCTTATCAAGATCTCCTCCCGCTTCTCCTCCCCAAGATCCATCATCGTTTATTCCATCCACTTCCTGGTCCTCTCACTATTTCATTGGCGCTTGCAAATTCTTCAGCGTTTTGTCTAAACATTTTATGTTAGGACGGAGGAGAAGTGGAGGTAGCTGCGGTTCAGTTACTATGTAGCAGCGTTTTGAGTCGTCGTTACGGGTTCAAATCTAAAAAGTACTCATGCAGCTTTAAGATTCTTAGTAAAATTTGAGATGGAATTTTAAAGTCGTTGTTACGGGTTCGAATCCAAGTGTATCCATATAGTTTTAACCCTTTTAGCCCTACGTTCCTGAACAATTTTAACCTTTCTGCCTGAGCTCCTGAGTCAAAATTCGCAAATAACCCGTATGTTTCACGGTAGATATAAAAATAGTTAAAAGTGTTTACCCACCGTTCAACCGGTGGGTGGACATTAAGTCATTTTCCTCTACCACTGTTCAACCGGTAGGAGATCATTAAGTCATTTTCCTCTACCACCGTTCAAACGGTGGGTGGTCATTAAGTCATTTTCCTCTCCCACCGTTCAACCGGTGGGTGGTCATTAAGTCATTTTCCTCTCCCACCGTTCAACCGGTGGGTGGTCATTAAGTCATTTTCCTCTGCCACCGTTCAACCGGTGGGTGGTCATTAAGTCATTTTTCTTTATCAGCGGTAAAGCGGTGGTCAGGCCTGAAAGGGTTAATATTCCTGACAAAATTTGATATGGATTTTTAGAGTGATCGTCACGGGTTCAAATCTAGAACTAGTCATACAGTTTTAACATTCTTGGCAAAATTTGAAATGGATTTTTAATCCAATGACTTATTCTGTCGTCCACAAATTCAGGCCGATATCCATATTAGAAACGAAGTATATGTACCTCCTCCACTTTTTACCCGTTTTTGTTTTTCTTGTCATCCAGCATGCATCATTTTTACAGATGCAGTTCAACATCCATGATTATATCATCATCCTTCTGCATAGGCACATTTATTTTGATTCAAGTTTTTACGTCGGTGTGGGAATTGTCCAACGTTCAAGGCCGTAAACGAAGATTGACTTTACATAGCAGATCAGCAGTCTTTTCTTTCTTTCTGACGGTATTTTCCTATATCTTAAACCTTATTGTAAATCATTTCACCACTAAGATGGCGATAATACCATTAAAACGCAATGGGTTACTGGGTGAAAGAGAATGATAAAAGTTAGGGCAGAGAAAGGGCAATAAAAGAACAGGTTCAGGAAAACAGAGGATTGAAATTGGTGTCAAACTTTTCAAAATCGTAGGTTTGCAAGATTTTAGGTTTGCAAGATTGTAGGTTTGCAAGATTATAGGTTTGCTAGATTGTAGGTTTGCAAGATTTTAGGTTTTCAAGATTGTAGGTTTTCAAGATTTTAGGTTTGCAAGATTTTAGGTTTTCAAGATTGTAGGTTTGCTAGATTGTAGGTTTGCAAGATTTTAGGTTTTCAAGATTGTAGGTTTGCTAGATTATAGGTTTGCAAGATTTTAGGTTTGCAAGATTGTAGGTTTGCAAGATTGTAGGTTTTCAAGATTTTAGGTTTGCAAGATTTTAGGTTTTCCAGATTGTAGGTTTGCAAGATTGTAGGTTTTCCAGATTGTAGGTTTGCAAGATTGTTAGTTTGCAAGATTTTAGGTTTTCAAGATCGTAGGTTTTCAAGATTTTAGGTTTGCAAGATTTTAGGTTTTCCAGATTGTAGGTTTGCTAGATTGTAGGTTTTCCAGATTGTAGGTTTGAAAGATTTTAGGTTTACAAGATTTTAGGTTTTTAAGATTGTAGGTTTGCAAGATTGTAGGTTTTCCAGATTGTAGGTTTGCAAGATTTTGTTTTCAAGATTGTAGGTTTTCAAGATTTTAGGTTTGCAAGATTTTAGGTTTTCCAGATTGTAGGTTTGCAAGATTTTAGGTTTTCCAGATTGTAGGTTTGCAAGATTGTTAGTTTGCAAGATTTTAGGTTTTCAAGATTGTCGGTTTGCAATATTTTAGGTTTTCCAGATTGTAGGTTTTCAAGATTGTAGGTTTGCAAGATTTTAGGTTTTCAAGATTGTAGGTTTGCAAGATTTTAGGTTTTCATAATTGTAGGTTTTCAAGATTGTAAGTTTGCAAGATTGTAAGTTTTTAAGATAAGGTGTGCAAGATTGTTAGTTTGCAAGATTGTAGGTTTGCAAGATTGTAAGTTTGCAAGATAGACGTTTGCAAGATTGTAGGTTTTCCAGAGTGTAATTTTTCAAAATAAGGGGTGCAAGATTGCTAGTTTTTAAGATTGTAGGTTTGTAAGATTGTAGGTTTTCAAGGTTGTAGGTGTGCAGAGAAGAAAAAAATCGGAAGAGACTTATAATTTCGTTAGAAACAAAGAAAAGTGTAATGAACTGTTAGGTGATTTTTGTCATGCTGTATGGCAGCAAATGCTGAACAATCTCCTGAAAGATGAAGAAAAGACTTGAAGCAGCAGAAATCTGATTATACAAAAGGATGCTGAGGATACCATGGACGAAACATGTGAGCAACGCGAGGCTTTAGAGAAAATGGACACTAAAAGAAAACTTACATGTAACATCAGGAAGAGATAGTTAAAATTTCAGGGGAACATCATGAGGAAGGAGGGCTTGGAAAATCTGTTACTCACAGGACAATTTGAGAGCAATGGGGACAGCGGAAAACAACGTATAACATATTTGTGGAGGTTGAGAAAAAGTATGCCGGAACAGGGTTTACAAATAAAGAAAAGACGGAATTTATATCGAGCTGTAAGCGACAGGAATATAAAGAATAAAAAAATGAGTTCCGACGAGAAGAATTCTCTGGCATAATATAGTGAATCAACTTCCTCTGGCAGTAGACCTAGAAATTGATTCAATATAATGATTCCTCTTCAGGTCTGTGGAAAGCGTGAGACTAAGGAGGCGCTGTGAGTTAGTCTCCTGATAGTTAGCATCAGTCAAGGTTTTCCATGGGGATTAAATGGTTTCTTTCGGAGAATTGAATTTAAAAGCCATTCCTTGCCCCAGTTAACAATTGATTGGAAGTCCTTTCGAGAGCATTTGCCAATTTTACTTTTGTTTGTTTGTTTGTTTCTTTCTAAGGTATTTTCTTTGTAACAGTACATTCTTTCTAGAAGGTTACACTGTTTAAAATATTTCTTTAAGTTTTCATCTTTCTTTCTTTCTTTCTTTCTTTCTTTCTTTCTTTCCGTCCTGGGTATGACGATAAACTATATCCGCGTGCTGGGGAAGACGATAAACTACGTCCAACAGCAATGCCTCTTATCTGGAGGTTTTGAGGAGCATGGAACCACCTCTTAATTGCTGGTGTTCCCAGGTCCACCCTGCCCCGGGGTGGTAGCACCTGTTAGGATCCCAGCTATGGGCAAACAGTTAACACCATAACTGGGGTAAAAAAAAAATATGAAAGTGTAAAAATAGGTTTTAATACCAGCAATACATTTTTGAAGGAAAAATTATTGCTAGAAATACATTTTGGGAAAAAATATTACCAGCAATAAAAATATTGTCAACATAAATAACCCATTGAGGCTGAAATGCCGTTAAACAAAACAAACTAAACCAAACTAATTCTTTATTTTCTTACTGTTTTTCATTGTTTGTATGTGTTCCTTCTTTCTAAAAAAATTTTTTTTCTAAGGGTATTTTCTTTTTAAAGATTTTATTCATCCTAAAATGTTTAATTCTTTAGAATATGTTTTTTTGTTTATTTCTTCCTTTCCATTCCTGGCCTTTGTTTTTTTGTTTGTTTCTTTCTTTGTAAGTGTTCACTTTCTAAAAGCTCAAACTCTTTCTTTCTTTCTTTCTTTCTTTCTGTCTTTCTTTCTTTCTTTCTTTCTTCGTAAGAGTTCATTCTTTGTAAACGCTCAAACTCTTTCTTTCTTTCCTTCTTTGTAAGAGTTCATTCTTTCCAAAAGCTCACACTCTTTCTATCTTTCTTTCTTTCTTTCTTTCTTTCTTTCTTTGTAAGAGTTCATTTTTTGTAAAAGCTCACACTCTTTCTTTCTTTCTTTCTTTCTTTCTTTCTTTGTAAGAGTTCATTTTTTGTAAAAGCTCACCTCTTTCTTTCTTTCTTTCTTTCTTTCTTTCTTTGTAAGAGTTCATTTTTTGTAAAATCTCACACTATTTCTTTCTTTCTTTCTTTCTTTCTTTCTTTCTTTGTAAGAGTTCATTTTTTTAAAGCTCACACTCTTTCTTTCTTTCTTTCTTTCTTTCTTTGTAAGAGTTCATTTTTTTTGTAAAAGCTCACACTTTTCTTTCTTTTCTTTCTTTCTTTCTTTCTTTGTAGAGTTCATTTTTTGTAAGCTCAAACTCTTTCTTTCTTTCTTTCTTTCTTTCTTTCTTTCTTTCTTTGTAAGAGTTCATTTTTTTTTGTAAAAGCTCACACTCTTTCTTTCTTTCTTTCTTTCTTCTTTTCTTTCTTTCTTTCTTTCTTTCATTTTTTTTTTGTAAAAGCTCACACTCTTTCTTTCTTTTCTTTCTTTCTTTCTTTGTAAGAGTTCATTTTTTGTAAAAGCTCACACTCTTTCTTTCTTTCTTTCTTTCTTTCTTTGTAAGAGTTCATTTTTTGTAAAAGCTCACACTCTTTCTTTCTTTCTTTCTTTCTTTCTTTCTTTGTAAGAGTTCATTTTTTGTAAAAGCTCACACTCTTTCTTTCTTTCTTTCTTTCTTTCTTTGTAAGAGTTCATTTTTTGTAAAAGCTCAAACTCTTTCTTTCTTTCTTTCTTTCTTTGTAAGAGTTCATTTTTTGTAAAAGCTCACACTCTTTCTTTCTTTTTCTTTCTTTCTTTCTTTCTTTCTTTCTTTGTAAGAGTTCATTTTTTGTAAGCTCACACTCTTTCTTTCTTTCTTTCTTTCTTTCTTTCTTTGTAAGAGTTCATTTTTTGTAAAATCTCACACTTTTCTTTCTTTCTTTCTTTCTTTCTTTCTTTCTTTGTAAGAGTTCATTTTTTGTAAAAGCTCACACTCTTTCTTTCTTTCTTTCTTTCTTTCTTTCTTTCTTTCTTTGTAGAGTTCATTTTTTTGTAAAAGCTCACACTCTTTCTTTCTTTCTTTTTTTCTTTCTTTCTTTGTAAGTTTCATTTT